GAGTTAAGGTTGTTCTGAAACCCAGGAACAGGCACAGCGTTGATATGCCAATTACAATCCCAATAAAACTTTGCAAGAGCCGAAAGAAGGATTAAAAACAGACCTGTGTTGAAGAACTGAGGAGAAGCACAACCACATGGCAGTCCCTCAGGAAAAGGACTAAGAGTCACTGATCTAGCTGGATCACTCCTGCCAAGGGATACAAAGCTCGTCTAAAACTGCCTGTGGAACATGCCAGCAACTTTAATTGCTTCATCTGGAACTGATTTCCTCATTCACAAGGATTCTAGGCAATACAAATGATAGCATTCTCAAATCTACACTTCAGGCCCGTCAAGCAACCCCAAAAAATAAAAGAAGTAGGGAAATAGTAATAATTGCATTTTTTTCTCAACAAAGCTAGAAGGTGATTTTTATCCTGACAACCTAATTATTCTTCGTTTTTCAGTGAGCACTATCAATAACTTGAGTACTTAAAAATGTTGCACAAAAATGAATGTTGAAAAACATTACTTAGAATCACAACAATGCCTTTCTTTGGGAAGGACTAATTTTTGGAATTAAACCTTTGTAGTAATTACCTTAAATATGACTTTGTCCATTGCAAAAGATTCTAATAAGCAAATGGCACCGAAATCTTCTGCTGCTTCCATACTGTTGTGATGTCAGCTACAGTATATCAAGTAGTTTATTAATGCGAAGGACAACACGTTCTGATCAGACTACTTTTCAGTATTCTGTAAAGGACTGAAGCTCACCACTTTCTTGAAAGCCTTTCACCCGTATAATTGCATGAAACTGGTTCAGATACTGCTGCTGAATGAATGGCTAGCATAAACGAAAATTATTTAACCGCTTTTAATTACAATCATGCTTTGCCATGTGTTTCGGCTTCTCATATCTTAAGAATGTAAAAAATGCAGAGATTTTCTCAGACTTACTTTTCCCTTTAATTAAGTTATATCTGATCAAACAAATCAGTCTTTGTACCGAATCCTGTATCAATGTTAAGCTTAACAAAGATTTTGTTTCTTGTGCAGTGAATCCTTGTATAATCAGATGAATTAGTTATTTCTGTCAATTTGCATGTATGCCATCTACTTTACCGTTGATAAAGGCATTTAATTAAAACAGCCAGTGTACAAAACAATATCGCACAGTATTTTGAGTGAGACTTATCTCCTGCTTCTTCAAATCATTTCAGTATCACAAGATCTCGTCTATTCATGACAAATTTAAAAATGTCCCACTTCGTAAAAATGCAAGAACTTTTATTCATGTTCATAGTTTTAACAGTATTTGCTGTGTAAAAATCCTGGCAATGCATTTCGGTCATGTCTGGCCAAAGTGTCTGCTCAACAGACAGGCAAGTCAACCTGTGGTTAACTCATATTCACTGTACAAACAGCTTTTACTACACAGAAATCTCCATAATTATGATTTCAACCACAATTCATTTTTTTCTGGCTCTGTCATTGTGAAAAACCAAAGGGTGCCATCTCAGAAAGCCAACAGGACTTTATTGTACTCCTGGGCCAACTCTTTATCAGTCCATTTTCTAATTGCTTCATCTAATCCAGGGTGTGAGGGAGCCAGAGCCTATCCAGGATACAACCTGGATAAGACACAGTCCATCCATGGGCACACAGAGAGACACACACTCACACCAGGGCCAATTTTCCCAGGAGCTGTTAACCTTCAAGGATTTCGAGCAGGTACAGTAGCTGCATCAGCATGCGTGGACTGCAGGGGCACAGCTGAAGGTTTATTCCACGCTGAAAGGAAGGGAAAAGAGACACAACATTTTGGCTGTGGAGACTTCAAGGATGCCCTTGGAGTGTGGGAGGAAACCGGAGCACCAGGAGGAAACCCATGTGAGCACGGAGAGAACATACAAACTCCACGCAGATAACACACGAGGTCTAGAACTGAATCCAGGGCCCCAGCAAGGACTCTTGGTCCAATTAGGTTTAAAATAAACATTTGCTGGTTTGGTTTGTAATTATTTAACTCACAATGCTTTAATGACTCTTGTCTAGAAAGTCTTTCCTAAAAAGTTCAGAACTAGACAAATGCTAGCACACACTGTAGTGTTGATAACTATACCTCACTAACCAGCAGAGATTTCTAAAAAGATTTCATTTTTCTTCAAGCAATCAGATATTCTACTTGCCGATCTTAGTCCCAAAATATGAAATGGTCTTTCACTATTTTTTTCAGCTCATTGCTATAACATATCTACACAAAGGAGCCAACAGTGAGAAATAAGGAATGGCTGAAGTCTGAGACCTTTGCCAATAATGTCAACAGATTAATCTCCCAGAAGGAAAGCTGTCCTAGTTCAGCATCATTGACAAAAGAAAGAGACCCATTATATCACTCCAATAATTTACTCCATGAAAGCGAGATTATAATATACATTGTTTTTAACCAGGAAACGTGAAGGAAAAAATAAATTAGACAACATGTACACAACTGCCAAAATGACTACAATTTGCCATCCGGTGCCAAATTAATGAAGCACATTTATTTTGACCTCTTGTTAAATTAACATTGTAATGTTGCTCTGACATTTTTGCCCCAACTTATTTCAAACATTTTTACCACGTCTGTATGCCACAGGGATGGATGTACAGTAGTTGAATGGCAGTGTATATCCTCAAAACCCAAAGCTCTTTGAACGCATGTTACCTTCCAAACATACAAATAAGGAGTAAAATGAAAAATTAGCTTCATCTTTCTTTTATCCTAGATCTCTAGCTCATAGTGGCTTAATGTGACATATTCCATATTTGAAGCTTTACTTCACCACATTTCTTACATGAAACCCTCTTCATAGCAGAAGAAGAGTGTTTCAGGTTCTGTACATTAGATGACTCTTAGTTGGCCATGGTTCTTCTCTGCAAACACACCTTCCCACTCCTCAATTAGTGATGCCAGGTACATGATTCTGAACAAACCAGTTCGGCCCCGTTTTCAGTAAGGGGCCCAGCCTGGTCTGGTCACTGCAGCTGTGCAGTAACCTTGAGTGAACCCAAAGAGTGAAATTAGATCACTTAGTGGCCCAAGATCATAAGGTCCAGTGCATAAAATGCATTGCATGTGATATAATCAGTAAGACAGGGGTAATACTCACAGACTAGAGAATTACTAACATAGTGGCCACCCATAAAAATGGTAACAAAAATGCACCAAGTAATTGTAGACCAATAAGTCCAGCATCCATTACATGCAGGGTTATGGAAACAGTACTAAACCAGAGGATCACCTAAATAAAAATAATATTCTAGGAAATAGCCAACACGGACTTACAAAACTTAGGTCTTGCTTAACTACCTGTTAAGAGCTCTTGCATCACGTAACAACAGTTCTAAAAACTCAAAGAGATTACAATACATTTTATTTACATGTTCAGAAGCTTCTGAAAGTTTCTCATAAAAGATAAAGTGTCAGACAACAGGCATTTGGAGACAATTAATACAGATTTCGATACAAGGAATGAATGGGAAATGTAAATAATGGAGTATATCGGGGATCTATACTAGATCTATACTGCTCTTCCTAATTTAAATCAACATTAAAACTGCACAATGCACTAGATAACTGCAGACGTTTTAGAATATTGTGTACAATTTTGGTCGCTATGTTGCATCAAGATATTGCTACTCTGGAATCAGTCCAGAGAACAACCAGATACATCCCAGGACTAAAATAAATTTCCTATACTAAGGTTAAAAGAACTGAACCTTTTAGTCTTGAACAAAGGGACTTCACAACATTCAAAATTCTCAAAACCACTGACATAGTCAACACAGTGGACTTCCTCAGAATGAACACTGAAACGTGACCCAGAGGACAAAAGTAAAAGCTACAGTATGCGGAAGCACATTTAAAAACAAGAACTGCAGGCACTTCTTTATGCAAAGGGTTGTGGGAGTAAGCAACAAGCTGTTCAGCAATGTCAATGCAGAGGACTTCAGGAACCAGTTTGTTTCAAGAAACAGCTGCAGGACATCCTTGGGCCAATTAGCTACTACAGTAATTACTAAAGGGGCTAGATGAACCGAATGGACTCCTCTCATTTCAAACTGTTCTTAATAGATTACCTACACAGTACCAGTTAACTATTTAGAAAAGAAAGTCCTAAAAAAACACTACATTCATAATTTTAAGAACGTTTAGATTCAAGATTTAACGCCTTTTATAAAAAGTAAATTTGAATTTTCATAACGGATGTCATCTCTTAGAAAGACTACTTTATAACCGTCTTCACATAAATTTGCTTGTCTTCTCTCTTTTACCGAATATTATCGCTTAGCTCGTCTGCCCTGCCAGAACATCTACAGTACGTTTTCAGAGATGAGGCTAAGCCATTTACAACGCAGACCGCGAAATACTGCTGACAGGAACACTAAACCAAACTTCCTTGCATTGTTAGCTTTATGCCACATTGATTCGACTTTGAAGAACCACCCTCAGTTAAGACCGAATTTCTATCTTCGTCTGAAATAACAGTTGGCATTTGCTACTCAAAACAATAATTTACAAATATAGCAACCTATCGTTATCAGCTCGATGCTACATGTAGCAGAGTAGGCACAATACATTACAGAAATTCGGTGTGTGCGGCAGAGCGTGTTACAACGTAGATTACAACTGTATTTAACATTTTGTCATTAAAAATTAAGATCCACTTCAAATTTTAAAAAATAAAAATAGTGAGGTTGATAGTAGGGAATATGTTCTATGGAAACCCAGTAACAGATCATGCAAAAAAATGTCAATCTGACAAATTCGGAATCAAATAAAGTTTTTTTTAATGAAATTAGTGGTGCTACAATTCTCATTAAACCACTTCTCTATGGCAAACAGCAACATTCAACAAAAGCAAGAGTGAATATGATCTCATAAGCTAATTTTATCAATGTCGAGCGTGATGTACTCGTGGCAGTGTGTTTTTGCAAAATATAAAATAATACAAACTGGGTATATTGGCTTACCTTATTGACCTTGTGATTATAACGCACAGAAGCAATACGATGCGCTTACAAAACACTACGTTGTCTACTTCTGTGCTGCTATCTCTCAAATTGCGGAGGACTAATTCAATCTGTACCGTCAGGATCTGCTCCTAAGATTTATGAGGACAAAGGGGAAACGCTTTCAAATGAGTCTTGATCATTTTATTAAATATCAACGTGGTAGTAAAATATGTTAAAGAACTTGTATATTTTTACTGTATATTGCATGCCACAGATTTCCGTCTTTTAATTTAGAAGCCCTATATGCAATTGCGCGTGGTATTGAAGCCGGTCTTCCCTACAAACCAAAAATGATTAGTCCCAATTTGTTTTAAAGGGGCCGAGTTCTTATTTCTACAGCCAGACGAATCTTTAAAACGAACTGGTTTTGGTAGTAGCGATTTAATGGTTTTTTTATATTATTATTAAGCTAATCCTAAAACTAATTTTTGCCAGACCCTACCTAACAGTAAATGCATATGTTCATAAGCAGAACCCAAGCTTGTCCAATCCTGGTTCTGGGAGTCCTGTACAGGATTATATCTGTAGGTTTGCATCCCCACTCAGCTTTTAACACTGTGCTGTAAATCAAGCCATTATTGGTTTTATTGGACCTATTTAATTTAATAGCTACTCACAGTTCTTTATGTGCTGGTCCTACAGATGTAGAAAACCTACAGATACAGTACACCTGCCCTCCAGGACCAGTACTGGACATCCCTACTACTCAAAGCTTTCTAAGTTTTTTTTTTTAAGAATCCATTGCACCAGTGATCACTGGCATTTTTTTATCCCATATGCTGCAGTTAATCCTTAATTTTCAGTGATCTTAAGCACCTGGGTTAATTAAAGAAGTTTGATTAGATGAGCTAAACTACTGGAATGTCTCAAGTCTTGTAATAGTAAAGAATGGAAATGTGAAAGGCACTGCTGTCTTGCAGCGCTCAGGATCTGCTTTGAACTCCTGGAGTGGTACAGTACCTGCGTGTACTTTGTACTGTATGTTTACCTCATGTTTGCGTGGGTTTTCTCTGGGTGCCACAGTTGAAAGACATACCCCAGTCCCACATCTATATTTTATTTCAAATGCTTACAACACATTTGTTTCAGTTTTTGCCTTTTCTCTAATTTATCAGTAAGATGCCAGTACCTCCCTCCCCCTCTGAAATAAATGTGGTTACATATGACACCAAGGAAATTATTAAAGTGATATTTTATCAATAAAAAAATAAAATGTGATATTTAATAAA